CTGGCTGCTTGCTCCAGGGTTGTGCCGTTGGTCAATCTTTGGTGATGATTGGCCAGTTGGCAGTTGGCTATTCAATAATATGCCAGGGCGCCTCTATCACACATGCCAACTTAGATCAAATAATATTCGAGCAATCATTCTACTAATCCATCTCAGCTTGGCGAAACAAAACATAACAAAACAATTATATAATGTAAAGAATAACTCCCAACAACCGGCCCGTTGCATTCCAAGCGAGGGCACACAGGTGGCGGCATAACACGATGCTGTGTATACCAATCCCAGGGGTCAAACGATGCTAATAAGCAGCAAAAAAAACGGCAATATTTTGATGGTTTATTATACAACCCTTGTCCATATATGGTAAAATTGGGGATGGTTTACCAAATTGCCTTGATTCACACAAATAGCCCATTTTTTGGGATGATGTCTGGCCCCGGGGCTTAACCAACACCATGTGCTTTTCAGTCTAGTGACTTTATGTAGTGAATTTGGCACTCAACTAAAGCTGAGGAGTATGGAAAATATTGGAAAATAAGACCAGATACATCAGATACCCCTATTAAGTGGACATCCGAATGTCTTAAGATTCTGAAGTGATCTGAATAGATGTCAATGAATTTCAATGGGATCTGAATGGACCTCAATGGGATCTTAACAGCTCGCCTTCCAAATTCGGTGGGCGCCCTGACAAGGGCATCGCAAGAGAGGCCTGCGGCATTGCCGTCGCCAAAGGTCCCATTTTTTTGCCGGGGATGTTGAAATCTGAGACACGACGTCTCAAACGTAACTGAAAATGATCAACATTCTGATACGCCTATCGAAATCATATGAAATAATAAGTGTTAAACAACTGCAGTGAGATATAGTGAGGTTTCCTGAAATGCATGTACCCCTACAGTCCTACAGCTGGATGATTTGGGGGTACCTATGGGTATCTCCATTTTAGGAAACCTCCATACTGGTACAGTGAGATGTCATGGCCACAACGACTTGCCTGTTGCGGCCTTGAACCGCCACAGATCGGCGGTTGTTTCAAAGGTCGCGAAAAAGAAAAAAGACGCCGGCTGTCCGAAGCTGTCCTGGTGATGGATAAACCTGCACCTCTTGCAACTTGGAATCCTGAAACAAAGAATCTTCATCTACTCTTAAAATAAGAAACAAATCAAAGGGAAAAGTATGAAACAAAAACATGTTGAACTTAAGTCCAACAACTCCTTGGAATCAAATTGACGTTGACTAAATCATCTAGTGGACGTTGCTGGGATTGGTATCTTGTGTGGGCCAAAGTTGATACAGGGAATTCTGCCCTGAAGCATGTCTGGACACAAGCGGAGGACCCTTGAAACCTGTACAGCAGCGTTCACAACAGGACATTGGCCGGCAAATGCTGGGATAGTGGAGAGCTTGAGGCTTGTAAATCGGACCAGCTGACCATCTATTTGCTCTAAGTGAAATCAAAACTCGGGGAAGAGCATCACATCTGACTCTGATCATGGCCGTTTCAACAGGGGAGCCAGCGATTTCGCTGATTCCCGGAATCAGTTCCAGGCAGTAAAGAAAGCCTGTTGTCCTTCATAAAGTCAAACAGTTGGCCGGCCTGATTCATCTACAAAAATGCACAGTACTACAGTACCCTCCAGGAATTCAACTTAAACATGGGTAGCCCACCATTTGTAGATCATTTAGCTGGACTCAGCGAGGAGGGTGATGATGATGATGATGATGACGATGATGATGATGTCCCAAAGCGGTTGAACTTTATTATAGTAACAAAACATAATGTTATATAATAATGATAATTGATAATAAAAACATAAGAATAATGGTAATAACAATATACAATTATAATAACAATACTAAAAATAACAATAATAATAATGGTAGTAATAATGATCAATTGTAATAATCATACTAACAATAATAACAATAATAATAGTAAAAAAAAAAAATAGTAATAATACATAGCAAGTATATGTCTTTATTTGTAATTCATGGTACTTCACTAACCTAGACTCAGCCAATTCGGGCATATTGTATATACATATATATATGTGAACCATCATCTACAGTGACGTCATGGTGAGGCTGTTATGATTTAGACAAAATGAATGCTTTCAGGGAAATACTAGGCAAAATGATTATTGTGACATATATAAATAATATAAATATGATGAAATATAGTATATTATAGATTATTATAGTATCTTTCAATGTTGTGTTTGTGAATAATCAATATCACCTTTATATTATTGAAGCACTCTGCACTGACTGCAACCCGCCGCGTATGTTTCTTCATCACACGTCCGCCATGTGCATCTTTGGCGCAGGTCTCGGAGGTTGGAATCATTGGGCGCGAACATTGGCACCTTTCACGAAGAAAATGCACAGAACTGCGCGCTGTTTGAAAATGTGTTCATTGTAGATTATAATATGATTATAATGATTATCATATGTCATAATTATACACTTAAAAAAATAATATAACTATATGATATTATATGTATATATAGCTGCATCATATTCTTCATCACGATGCCTGTACAACTGATTCCCTATTCATTTGGACCGTGATCAATCACTTGGATGAAGAAAAGCGACATCATACGACCACAGCCCCACGGCTGTGAACTTTGGAAATGAGAACTGCTGGGATTCCAGTCTTCGATCTTCAAAGATCCCATAGCCAGGTAAGTTCAATAAGATCATCTTCATTGCACTGCAAAGATGTAGTTCTGCGCATTTGCAAATATCCTGCTACATCTCAGGCGTGTGTCCTTCACCCGCTTTGTTTCATCAGGAATCAACCAGTTCCTTTTTGAGTACAACTGCAAAGGGAGGCTCCGACAACGGGCAACAACTGGTGATTTCCTCCAACAACCATTGGTTATGTAGGTAAACTTCACTCATGGTATGGAACGATGCTTCCAACTTCTCAGGGCGTCAAATATCAGATGAACATATCATGATAGTTCGGATTGTGAAAGCCATGCACTTCTACTTGGGGTTCAAACATTCGCCGCAAAAAAATACCTGGGACAAGATCATTGGCACATAGGCATGGGCCAACAACTATGAGATCCTTCCTCTAGATTTACCATCACTAGCCAGTGAACTTTGGCATATATGGCAGTGTGTCAAAACCTTGTACCCCTGTAGTTCACATCAAAATAGCTGGTAAATGGATGTTCATCCCCCTAAAAATGGTATTAATAGGTATTGATCCATAGCCATATCTTGCTCTGAAAACCCTTTTGGGGGATTAGGATGAGAGGAAGCCAAAAAACGGCCGTCTCATCGTGCTTCACCCATCGCTGGCAGGAGCCTGTCGTCATGGACTACCCACTGAACTGGGCTGTGTCCAAATGGAGGTTTCCAAAGTCATGGGGATACCTCCAAAGCATCAGAAATTTGACCATTTTATACAAATTTATACAAATTTATAATTTATACTATTTTTCAAGCAAGGGTGACTTGGGGATGCCCCATCACTTAGGAACCCCAGAGCCGGAGCTTCAGTGCTCAGACAGGAATGGCCCTTTTTGGCAAAAGGTTTATGGACTTTTAATTAGATATTGATATAATCGCTGATAATATTAGATATAATCACCGACTGACTTGGATGTTCACTTCAATATTTTTTCTCTAAACACCCGCGGAAGGCAAACGCTCCGCGTTATCATTGGCACATTCTCGGATGCCGCTTTCCTCTAGAAAATACAACAACATGCTACCCAGTTAAGTTGCTTCATAACTAGGCATTCACACTTGGATTTATGATTCATCTGATGATTTATGATGAATATCTCTAGAGTTGCATGGGTCTATACACCAGCAAACACTGGAAACCGTCAAATCCTTCCACCATTACCGTCTCCACCTGTCGAAGTCCAATGAGAGCTCGTGCACCTTGTGGAAGGTGACGATGACCGGTAGACTCTCAACTGATCCTATGATATTGCCATATATTGCCAATAATGATTTCAATGGATTGGTTTAAGGGCAAAAAATGCAAGAAAACCCATGTTTAATGGGAAAATCAGAGTAACTATCATATTTTATCAGCTGAAGTTTTCGAAATCCCGACATGTGTCAGACTCTTTGGCCTCAGAGAAGTCCAAGGGTTGATCAGGGATCCCACTTTCTCATTGAAACATAGCCAACATAGCCTATCTTGATGTGGGTTTAACCATCCAGTTTTGGGCTTCATCCCCAAAAAGTAACAAACCAGGGCAGCTACGAAAAAGAGAAGCCTGTGCGACTTCTCCCCACAAAATGCTGGTTACACATTGATATGTTGAGAAATGATGAGAAGGAATATCAATACTGATATGAAATAGACACAACCAGAACATTTGGGTTGGTCCTTAAGTCAATATGAAACATTTGCATGACAAATTTTGGCTGCCTTGCTAGCACCATCCCATCCCATAAAGATCTCTACCCTCTGGTAATTCTTCTTACATAGCTATGGAAAATGGACCATTTATAGATGATTTACCCATTAAAAATTGTTATTTTCCATAGTTCTGTTAGTTTACCAGAGGGTATACCCATATCAGCTTTGGATATCTATGCTACTGCAGCCATCCAACCATTTGTGAAGCGATGCACCAAATGTGATCCACGTCCAGCCGTAGGCTTTCCTGGAATCTGGACCCTTGGAAACTTCACATGGCAAATCTTGGATACGAAAGGACTAGGTTTGGGATGAAGGATTAAAATTGATCCCTTTCCTAATTTTGGAGGAGATGTCCATATTTCTATACATAATCATACATATATATATATATGGCAGTGTGTCAAAACCTTGTACCCCTGGTGAACATCAAAATAGCTGGTAAATGGATGTTCATCCCACTAAAAATGGTATTAATAGGTATTGATCCATACCCATATATATATATATATATATATACACATAAATAATTTTGATCCCTGAAATGTCCCAAATCTTCAGCCATCCCCCGGCCAAAAAAAACCGCAAAAGGGCCCCCTGCTTTGGCCGTGAGGTCGCGGAGCTTAGAGAGATATCCCAGCATTGGCACCTGGCCCCAGTTTCTTTGCTAAGTCTCTTGGAACCAGAAACGCCCTTATTAACTTGTAGTAATAATGGGGTTTGTTTAATGGTAGATATATTTGTAGATAATGGCTGTTAGATTACCATCACTTACCATAACCCTTATCATTGCTAAGTTGCTGGGCGCATCTAAGATGGGGTTCAATTATCTACTTTAAGAACTGAAAAACAACAGCACTTTATCATGGTGATGACAGTCAATGTCTATTGGTTGTGATAATTATAGTTGAGTCATGATAGTTATAGTCATACCATGTTGCTTTATGACCTGTTCTGGGTATGGTTATGAGAGTTATCGTTCACTCTTCGGCATCCTTTTGGTGGTTACTATATATATGTTACTATATACTAACAGTTGTGGTTATAAACCAACAACAAAATCGTTTGGAGGCACCACCAAACATAAAGATTTACATACTGTAGGCCAGTTCTGAATGGAATGTACCCAGTTATGTACTTTTATATGTGGTGTGTGTATGTGTATATATTTATATGATATGATATATACATATATATATGATATATATATATATATATATATACATGGTATACATATATATATATATGATATATGTATAGAACTTCCTTACATTACTAACTGGAATGCAAATCCAGACAGTTTTTTCTCAGGGAAAACGAACAAGAGACCATTGCAAATTTAAATGGTAAAACCCATGGCTCAACCAACCCGGGGTCCGGGGTGTTGGAATATATAACCAGCAACAACAATAAGAACAGGATAAGCATTAGTTCCTATAGTACAAGTTATTAGGAGGAATGAAATTGCCACCCTGTGCACATTTTAGAGGGCACATAAAGTACATCATGCAGCATACATTTTTTGGAGTGCTCTCACGCAGTTTGTTTGTTCCAACTCTAGGATTCAAACACTCGAACATGTGATGTTACGTGATGAATTCTGGACAAAAGCATCTTAAATAACTTGTCCAAGGAGAAAACTGCAACAATTAAAACATGTATACATATATATTATTATAATATATATATATATAATATATATATATATAATAGAACTGCCTGAAATCGAATAATTCATGCAACCTGAAGCCCTTCGGTCACTTCGGGATCATTCCCCCGATCATTACATGCTAAAAGAATGCGTGTTTTTTTACAATATTCAGAACGCGGATATCAATTTGATTGAGATTGGGATGTTATAATATATCATCTATCTCTCATTGGGATATGATAACATCATATATTATTTAGATTGAGATACCGGGGCAATTGAAGTTCATGGGATACTCATGGGATATTCATCAAACCAACTTGATATGTGATTTTGTCCAAAAAATTGTGGATACCCCAACAAGAACGGCACTTTGAACGAGAAAATGATGACCAAAGCAGGGAGACCTGCTTTTGTCAAGAAGTGGCTATTCTGTTCGAAGTCCTTCGGCAAGTCAATCTTACATGCTCAATCATCATCCTATATAATGCTGTATATATATATGATACAAATAGCGGGATCAAGAGAAACTATTTGAAACGGTCATCCAGTTTTGATCTTGATATGTCAAAATACATCAAACACATCTCAGTTTTTGATGAAATCAAGGTTTCTTTACCTAGTAAACCTAGTATATAACCACTTTTGAACCAGTTAAATCACTCTGTTTCTGGCTGTTTCTATAGCTATTTAGCAAGGTGACTACCTGGTCAGCACATCCAGGGAACCCCCGCCTCGCTGGTAGCTGGGAGCCTGGAAAGCGGGATCAACATTGAGTGCTTAACCAACCATAATGAAGATACATTGGGCATATCATGGGATATATACATATATACATGAATATGTATACATTCATGGGGATGTCAGGATATCATGGGATATGTATATGTAATATCTGTAATATCTATCTATCTGTCTGTCTATCCATCCATCCATCAATCCATCTATCTACCTACATTAATATATGTCTACATTGTATAACTAGAGGTAGTATAAATTAAACATGGCGGGCCGCTGGGCAATCCCCAACATAGAAGTTTCTTTGTTTCCGGACATGATTTTCCAGGAAGCCATGTTTGATTGCCAATGGATATAGTTTTAGTGCAGTTTCAGGTACAACTGATAACTGAGTCTTGCAAAGAAAGAGGGATGCAGAGTCCAAGTAGTGTGAAGTACTTGAGGGTTTGGCCCCACCGAATCCAGAATTGGGATTCCTGACGTCAGCCGAAAAGTCTTAGGAGTTCTTAGGAGTCTACTTCCCCTCTTCCCAATTCTATCAATCAAATACTATTCAGATATACTCTATATATATTATATTATATATATACTATATAGCTATATATAAATATATTCAGATACATTCTGAATCCTCATTCAACATTCTTCAACCAGATTCCTTGGATTCAAAAAAAACAGATCCCAGATTCTCCGAGGTTTGGCGTTCCAGAAACAGTTCTTTTTGTTTTAATCAAATGCAAATGAATATTAACATGTGGTTTATAAAGTTGCTGTTGATGATTGTTCAGTAACTCACTATATTACTGTCAATCTTTGATAGCAAAAATATGCCAAAATATGTTGCAAGTTTTGGTGATGTTCCGTTTATAGATAATAAAATGACTTAAGGATTAGATGTTAGTTCCATTAGATGTTAGTTCCATAATAAAATGACTTACATTAAGATGTTCCATTGGTGATGTTCCTGTTAGTCATGTATAGTTAGTTTTCATATACCCATTACAAAAAACTGAAGGATTAAACCCATCCGTCCCTTTTCGGTTGTTCAACCGCTTATCCACAAACCTGGAGGAAGTCACCGGAGGCTGCCCGCGACCTGAGTTTTGTCCCTTAAAAAGCTGAACCGTTGACTCGTTTGTACCAGTACATGTATATACCTATATAAATGTACTATAATGATATCAAGTTAATCTATATTATATTACACTATATTATATTACATTATATTATATTATATTATATTGCATTATACTTATATTATATTTATATTGTATTACATTATGTAACATATATTGTGTTATGTTATGTTATATGTTATACTGAATTTTGTTATGCTATATTAAATTAAATTATATTATATTGCATTATACTTATATTATATCTTATATTGAACTATATTACATTAAATTATATTATATTACATTATATTATATCAAATTATATACTATATATTATATATCATATATTATTCCCAACAGCGAATCTGTTGGGTTTCAATCTCTGGGGCCGGGGACTGGTGACACGAAAATGCACGCCCCAAAAAAACGGACCAGTCTTGGAACCTTGCTGGGGAACCTTTTGCTGCTGGGTTGCAAAGCTGGGCTAATATTATATTGTATTACACCAAATCATAATATATTATATATATATATAATCATATTCTTATATTGCATTATATTATATTATAGTACATTCAGTTGAATTATCTTTCAATTTTGCATTACGTTAAATCACATTAGATTACGTTACGTTAAATTACATTATGTTACATTATATTACATTGTATTACATTATATTTACATTATATTTACGTTATATTACATTATATTACATTCTATTACATTATATTACATTATATTTACATTATATTTACATTATATTTACATTATAATTACATTATATTACATTATATTACATTATATTTACATTATATTACATTATATTACATTATTACATTATATTACATTATATAACATTGCATCAAATTACATTATATTGCATTACACAATATCATATAATTTCATATTGTATTATATTTTATTATTATCACAATTAATGCTGATAAACATACTGAAACACATCAACATGGATCAACATGTGGTATATTTAAGATGCTTTTCATTAATGGAAGATCCTTGAACTTCCTTGAAGTTCCTTGAACCATGGACAAACTGGTCCTGGCGGTCACTGAGCACGTTCTATGATGAAGCTTTTGACTTCAGCTATAATGATGAAGTTGCATGTAGTGGTCTTCAAGTGGTAGTCACAAAATGCAATCAATGAAGACAGTCAAACAAAGACGATCAAACAAAAACCACAAGAAAAAAACATCCCCAATGTCACCATGTTTTTGGCTGGTTTTTCAACCATCCCCAGTAATGGTATTTTTTTGGCAGCCAGGGGCAGCCCACATTGGGCCCATGGCTTCAACCATGGTTTTTCCAACTCGGAGCTATATTCCTCCGGTCATTTCATGCTTTGCAAAATGATAGTGTTTTTTTTAGAAGGAACTTATAAATGCAATAGTAATATATAGTAATGATCTACAAAATTCTAGTTGGTAGGCCCATGAAACGTTCGATTATTTCTTGTGTTTTGAACAGGATCAAAGTCCTTGCTGAGAAGGTATGGCTGGATCCATAGGGATAGTGACCTTTCCGTAGCAAAACGTTAAATGACCAGAGGGCACGGCTGACCGGCTGTCACTTTTTTTCGGGCCGAGCGGCAGCTGATTCTTGAACAAACTTCTTGCCAGTTGCTGTCCATGCCTAAGAGGGACAGTGGGAGACTTGGAGATCTCTCGCGATGGATTTTCTGGTAAACAAAAATGGCAATGCAACATGCGTCACACTTGTTTGCCTTACTTTCCATGGCTATGTTATCTAGTTACATATAAGATTATAAGAGTAGATCCCAAGGGTGCTCAATTTACATAACTTAAACTTGAGGGCCGCAACATATCATCGTTGATCATTACATTTATATTTATTTATAAATAACATGATATGTTTCCCCCCGAAATGGGCCATCAATTGAGCAATGACTTAAAACACAAAAAAAAAGGTATTCTGCAGGCCCTGGCTGGGTCGCCCCGACGCTCACCGCAACTGATCATGGCTAGTAGCGCCTCGGGTTCGCTGACTGGGTAAGGGGCTGATGAAGATGCTCAGGGGGAACTGGAGATGGAACAGAAATGCATGTTTAATCGACAGAAATAGGGTTTGTTTACAAACAGACATTTGCAATTGAACCATGTTTTTGTTTTAACCAACAGACAATTAGCACATAACTGGTGAAATGACCCCGTAAATTATCATCAAGATTCATGGCGGGTCTCACCCCAACAGAAAAAAAAGATGTCATTGCAACAAAGAAATGGGACATGATATGGGGTACCAACCAATGACTCTAGCACTAAAGAGGACCTACTTTGGCCGCTTGGCTGAGAATCACAGAGGACCAGGACCACAGCTCAACAACTTCGTTGACCCCGAAAATGTGTCGGAAAAAATGGGGGGATACCCAATTCTATTGCCATCTGACCTTCTGGTAATCAAACGGGGCAATGGAAAATCACCCATTAGTAGTGGAACTTCTCATTAAAACCTCTATTTAAAGTGGATTTCTCAGCCATGTTTGACAACCCCTAGATCTACCAGCCATCCCTGGCTCCATGGCCCCCACCAGATCTGCCCCTGCGCAAGCCCAGGTTGCCCTGCCCAGAAGAGGCTTGCAGAGCCCGCAGGCCAGGAATCTGGCGCATCCGATCAGCAAAATCAGCAGTTGTTGTTCTTGATGTTTGGAATTCTAATGAATACCATCTGGTTATGACAAACATAGCCATGGTATAGATGGCCCATAGAAATAGATGGTTTACCTATTATAAATGGTGATTTTCCATGGCTATGTTAGTCATAACCAGAGCGTAATATATTCAATACTAGATACAGTCATAATCACAATATCAAAAAAAACAATAATGTTTTATTCTGAATAATATATGCTAATCATGTAGATGATAATAGATCTTATATTCGATATAATGGACATTTAGCAGTTATTCATGATGGTAATATAGATGATAACACTGAGATGGACAATCATGATATTAATGGAATAAAACATGAATCCCCGTACAAATTATCAACCAACCGTCATTCATCAATTATATCTCCATACTGTTGATGGTTAAACCCCATAGTTGGTGGTTGGATTTCCCTATGAATTATCAGCTGGACATGTAGCAGATTTAAACAACTGATATTATAGCGATGATATCACTAGTTGGTATGTTATTTATAGTGATCAGCATAGTTGATCATTTATCAATAATATCTTCTCATAGTTGGATTGATGAACATTAAGAACCATCATCAATTTGGTGGTTAAACCCCATATGTGGCAGTTACATTATCCTAATAATGGTGTATATCATCATTTTAAAAGTAGGTTTGATATGTAAAAAAAACAATTCATCTGTTGGTTTGATTCCTTATTAATCATCAACCAACCACCATCAGTTTTAAATGATAAGTTATAGTCATACTCATCAACCAACCATCATTCATCAGTTATATCTCCATAGTTGTGATGCTCAAACATCGTCAAAAACACCATGCTGGTCTTGGTGATTCCACCGGGGTTTGTTCAACAGCACATGGATAATGATGGTTATAATATCAAACATTATCAAATAGTATACCTATATTTCAAACAAAAAACAAAAACATCATCCCCTAAGAATTTTGTATGTATAATTAGGTATTAATTATCAAATATAATAGTATGTCTATCTATCTATCTGTCTGTCTGTCTGTCTATCTTATCTTATCTTATCCTATCTTATCTTATCTTATATTATCTATCTATCTATCTGTATGATATATATGTAATTAATTATATTAATATTATATATATAATTAATCATCAACCACCAGACGTGAATCCGCGCCTTCCCCGCTGAGGTTCGCCGCGGCCGCCGCCTCTAAAGCATCGCTCAAGGCCGCGCGCAAGCCGCGCAGCCTGGATGAAGCGGCAGCAAATGGGGATTTCACCGAGGAAAAACGTGGAAATGGTGGGAAAATGCTGGGAAAACGCTGAGAAATCAACTTTTTCAATGGGGAAATGACGACTATGGGGGAATCCCCTGGGAGTTGGTTGGTGAATGTCACCATGTTCCCACAAAATTCATGAGAAAGAAACCACAAACAATAGTAAATTGTAGTAAGATATAGCAAAATACTCTACTTTCATGCAAACCCAAACCTTTGCCCAACTTTTGGAATTGTTCTGAAGTGTTGCAATGCTCAAAAAGTAAAATAACACGTGGTTTTCACATTCAATGGTATTTTCACGGTGTGAACTCTCGATTTATGATCTCAAAACATGTGGATGGATCAAACTCGAGGTCATTCTTTTTCCAATTAATTCAACCATTTCTTGGAGGACCTCATTCTGACCAACAACCATGGCTGTGTCTCAGACTTCATTTATGCAGAGACCCAAAGGCTTTGGCCATTTCTTCTGTTCATGATCCAACTTATTTGATTTGACCCATTCCCCAAAGACCCTCAGCGCTGCGAAAGCGACGTTGACTTCTACAATGTTCTACACATCAAATTTTCATGTTAAGCCATCATATGTTCACGGATGCTTTATGGTGGATTTTGATAAATGTGATTCGCGACTATTCCATACCATAATTTATCAAAC